CGTTTCCTCACCCGCTTCAGGTACCGGGGCTTCGACTGACTCCTTCGATTTGATTGACCTCCGCTCTCCTTTGACTATGCTTCCGGCCTCTCCCTCTACGGTACGGCAATTTTTGAATTGCCAGCCCGTTTCACAACGGACCAACTCCGGTCCTACTCCTAAACGCCAACGTCAATCTCCTGATGATGTTCCTTCGTTACCTTCCCATTCTACTCGGAAAAGACCGACACGTCATGCACTCCCTCTCCACGCTCAGTTTCAGACCACACAATGGACCAAATTCTTTACTTTAAGACCGACTTCTTCTGCCTATCTTTCTGACCATAGTATTGGCAAAGCGCTCCTGCGTCATGTTGGTAGAGATATTTCATTTCATGCTCTCAAGAACGGTACGCTCATCATCACTGCCCAGAATGCTACCCAAGCTCATGATCTTTCTCTCCTTTCACATATTGATACTACTCCTATCACTATTGAAAAACATCTTTCTCTCAACTCTTGTAGTGGTACTGTCATTCTGCCCCATACCATAGTCCAACAGAATTTCCAGTCATGTGGCAACGACATTCTTGAACAGCTGGAACTCCAGGATCTCCCAATCCTCAAAGTCGACACTTATGTCCTTCCTGCCCGTGGGCGGAGACGTTACCCTTGCAATGTGGCTCGATTAACTTTCGACAACTGAGAACTCCTGTCCTCTGTTTATGTCGCGGGACATAGTTTACAAGTTCGAAAGGTGATCCCTACACCGCAACAGTGTAGAAATTGCTGGCGTTTTGGTCACCCAGCGAAATATTGCAGATCTATAGCCGAATGCCCAGTCTGTGGTGCCGACGACCATTCTAATACATCTTGCAGTCAACCTCCATCTTGCCTTAATTGTAATGAAGCTCACCCTTCGTACTCCCGCCGTTGCCAGGTCTACTTAAATGAGCGTGAAATCCGTTGCCTCAAAGAGGCAGAAGGTCTCCCTTATGCTATGGCAGTTACTCATCTCCGCCTCTAAGGAAGACTACCCCGTGTTCCTTATTCTCGTGTTTCAAAACATCCCCACACTTCTGGGGTCCCATCTTCTGCAGCCTCCTCCGTTGTTACCCTTCCCATAACCACTCCGGCATTCTAATCCTTTTGATGTCCTTGGCTCTGACGTCCCGACTACAACTCAGTCTGTTCTCACATCTTCGCGTCTTTCCTCACAAGCCCCAGTATCAACAAGACCTCGTATGACACCTTATACCAATCGCCCCTCTACTTCTCAGAAGTCCAAAAAATCCACATTACTCAAATTTTCTTTGCCCCTTCCTTCCCTTCTTCCACCTCCACACTTTACCTTTCCAGTCTCTGTGCCTAGTTCTTCCCCTCTCTCTGGCTCTATTACAAGTGTGGAGGTTCACCCTCCTCCTCGTACTATGCCTTCCACCCCCGTACCCTCCCAAGTTTCTCCCTCTTCTGCCTCTTCTGTCCCCCCCCCACACACTTCATCTCCAGTCCCCCTCTACTTTGGTACAGTCCATTACTGTCCCAATCTTTACTCACCCTCCTCCTTCTACCTCCAATATGGTCTCCCATACATCTTTGAATTCAGAAACACTTGAAGCCATTTCAGAATATATTGCAGAGACTAAACCTTCAATGGACACTGATTCACCTCCTGTTCCTTCTCTTCCCTCTCCTCCATCTTCGCAACGCTCCATTCCGTCGCTGCTTGAACGTCTTCCAATGCCACCACACGTTGAATTTTCTAACCCCTCTAGTCCATAGGTGCCCTTCCCTACGGATTCCTGGTATTTTCTTCATTGCCAATCTTGGCCTATTTACAGTGGAATATCCGCGGCCTCAGGGGTAATCGGGGTGAGTTTCAGATGTTGCTTTCCAGGTTTTTTCCTGTTGGTGCTTGCTTACAAGAACCAAAATTACACTCAGCTGTTTTCCAACCTATCTCAGGCTATAATTTATTGTACTCTTCGGAGCCTTTCTCAGATGGGACCTTTAATGAAAGTGCCCTTCTACGCAATGATATTCCGTACTGTCAACTATTTGTCCATACCTCGCTGCATTACACTGCAGCCCGTATCCACTTGAATAAGTGGTTTACAATATGTTCTTTATATCTCTCTCCTTCTCAAGCATTTTCTATCCCAGATTTTGCCTTTCTAGTTTCATCCTTACCACCACCACTTCTGTTAGGTGATTTTAACGCCCACCATTTGCTCTGGGGGGGGTCTCATTGTGACTCACGTGGCATCCACTTGGAGGCTTTTCTTGCCTCTCACCCCCTCCATGTTTTAAATACGGGTACTCCCACCCATTTTGATCCTCGTACTCATACTCTATCTTGCATCGATCTATCAGTCTGCTCTTCCTCCACTGCACTAGACTTCACCTGGTCTTTTCTACCGGACTTGCATGACAGCGATCATTTTCCAATCATTCTTACTTCTCCTTCATATTCACCACCTTTCCGTAGCCCTCGCTGGCAATTTGATACCTTTACTCGCAACTCACTGCTTTTAGTGAGGTTCCTTCTTCATCCTCCATTGATGAGCTCCTACACCTCTTCTCGACGTCAGTTTATACCTACAGCTTCTCATTCTATACTCCAAACCTCAGGCAGGCATTCTCAGAAGTGCGTGCCTTGGTGGTCTCCTGCTTGTGCTCGTGCAGTACGTTTGAAACACACTGCATGGGGCAGGTACCGATACAATAGAACCAATGAGAGACTTCTTGATTTTAAGCACAAGCGTGCCTTGGTACTTTTCGCTCTTCCCCTGTTGAGAGCCTCTATGCAGAAGCGAATGTTCCATCCTTGTCTGATCGCCATGATGCCCATTGCCTTCGCTACTATGTACGCTCTCACGATCTCCACAATCCTTCCATTTATAGAATGGTCACCGATATTAGTAGACATTCTTTATTTGTTCGCCGCCCCTGTTTGCTCCATCCCTTTTCTCTTTGCCTACATTCACTCGTCTTCCCTTCAGTTACCACCTTTATATGTTCATGTAGCATCTCACTTTTCCCTACCCCCCTGGGAAGTTCCAGCTGTTCGGGTCTGTTCTTTCTCACTCCCTTGCTCGAAAGCCCAACTGCCTACAATGGCTTCCCGCTCTCTTTTTCTTGATCACTTCCATTCTCATTCTCATGTCATCGCTGTGTACACAGATGGCTCTAAGTCTTCAGACGGCGTCGGATTCGCAGCAGTGTTTCCGGACAGCGGGGGCATTTACTATCTTCGGCTAGCATTTTTACTGCTGAATTGTATGCCATTCTTGCAGCACTTATTCATATCGCATCTATGCCTGTGTCATCATTTGTGGTAGTCTCAGACTCCCTTAGTGCTCTACAGGCTATACGAAAATTTGATACATCTCACCCCCTAGTTCTCCGTATCCAACTTTGGCTACGCCGTATCTCTACCAAGCATAAAGATATTGTTTTTTGTTGGATCCCTGGTCATGTCGATGTACAGGACAATGAACAGGCAGACACTGCTGCGCGGTCAGCAGTACATGACCTACCAATTTCCTATAGAGGTGTTCCATTTCTGGACTATTTTGCTGCAATAGCTACCCACCTTCGCACCCGTTGGCAACAACGTTGGTCAACTCTGCTCGGTAACAAACTTCATTCTATTAAACCGAGCATAGGTTACTGGCCGTCTTCTTGTCATCAGTGCCGAGGTTGGGAGACCACTCTCTCCCGCCTTCGCATTGGTCACACTCATCTTACTCATGGGTATCTCATGGAGAGGCACCCTGTTCCTCTCTGTGAACAGTGTCAAATTCCAGTATCGATTAGCCACATTCTGTTAGAATGCCCTCTCTATCAACGAGCACGCAGAATTTACCTCCAACGTCGTCTTCGTTCTACTACTCTCTCTTTACCTTCCCTTCTTGCTGATGGACCCTCCTTTAATCCTGACTCTCTCATTGACTTCTTGACAACGACTGATTTACTCCACAAACTCTGATGATACCTTTTGCACTCCCCTCAGCCCTTTCTAGCACAGTCTCTTGCTGCCCTTTACCCTTTCACCATCCACTGCCTTGCTGTTATCCGTAACCTATTACTCGTCCATCTCCCTTTTGCCACCTGATGCCCTCGCTTCCTTCCTGCCCTGCAGCGCTGTATAGCCCTTGTGGCTTAGCGCTTCTTTTTTATTATAATAATAATAATGTAATTCCTGTACCAAGAGCACCTTTGCCAGATTAAGGGGTCATCAATTTGTAACTTATTCAACAGTGGCAAATACTGTAATTCATAAGGGAAAGGCCTTTCCTGTTTTATTTGAAGTCAGTTTAGTTCCTAGCATGTGGAGAGCTGCTTCCAGCTAATGATCATATCACTTTTATCAGTATGTTGACTAGGTATAGCTAGGATAACTATTTTCTAATTATATTGCATCCACGTGGATCATGGTGAATGGTTTTTCCTTATAAGCCATGACTTGTTCCTCCTGATTACAAAATGGGATTTCAAAATTAGTTATTTCTCTTGAGAGATTTGCTTCTTGCGCCCTCAAGTGGGACTAATTGCAGATCACGAAAACTATTTCAGTAACTTTAATGAAACTATAAGCCTGGTTGAGAATTTACTAGAAAAACCTTAAAGTTTGGGGTTAAAACTGTTTTTTTTTTTTTTTGTGCATATCAGTAATGTAATGCCTGCCGAGATTAATTTTGACCCTTAAACGGTCCAAACGTATATATACGTTCACTCGCATAGCGCCCCAAATTTTTTGAGGAAAAAAAATCTTTTCTTTTAAAAGGAAAAAAGAGCATATGTACCCAGGCATTCCCAATTATTTTAATATGACGCACAGTGAGTGCACACACCCATTCTCTCATGTCTAGGTGACTCAGGCTTATTGTGGCAATGTTGAATGAATGACAAAGAAAACGTATATATACGTTTGGACCGTTAAACACACATTTTTTATATATGAAAGATATTTTTGTATGAAATATTTCAAATATAGTACTGCATTTACCAATTTTCAGGCTTGTATGGTAGAAGGAGAAAATGAAGATGACCCATCACAAGAAACTATCACTTTCCTTTACAAATTTACCAAAGGTGCCTGCCCAAAATCCTACGGTTTTAATGCTGCACGTTTGGCTGAACTACCTGATGAAGTTATTCGTAGGGGTAGTCAAAAAGCACAAGACTTTGAGAAATCTAACATTAAAAAGCAAGCATTTTCAAAGATATTCAGCACAAATTGTGAACCAGAAAATTTAAGAAACTCCATTCAAAAGATCCGTAATTTAGAGTGATACTTAAGATTAACTGACAATTCCATAATCATGAGGTAAATGGATTCAACTGAGTAATATGCAACAACTTTGTGACTGACTGAAAAAGTCAAGTGTATAATAAGTACTTGCTCATACATATTTAGTACAGTAATAATAATAATAATACCTTATGGTGCATTTAAAAGTATCTCTTTTAACAGAGATTGGGTGAAAGCTAGTACTAGTGCATAATACTGCAACAAATTTATTTTAAGATCAAGGTTGAATAAGTCCTTTCGCTACCATACTATCGTGCAGTATTTTAATTTGTGTTACATACAGTACAGTGAGCAAATAGAGATATCAGTGATAATTTGTGTTGAAATGTAAAAGGCAACAGAGTATGTACAGTAATTATAGTGGACCTATAATAAGAGCTGACTGCAAGCAGATATGCTTGACAAGGCAAGGCTGACATTTATGTACAGTATGTGGTTAATTTATACGGTATAGCAGAGGTTGGGTGTGGTAAGGAACTAATATCAGAGGGAAAGATGGCCATATTTGATGGAATTATGAAACTAGAAGCAGTGAAAGATGAAAGTGCTGTTTTGTGAAGTTTCAATATGAAGAATGAAAGTACTGCTTCTTTTGTGAAGCTTCTGTATAAAATGTCATTAGCCAGTCATCATGCAGTAGAAACAGGAACATTTGTTGGAGTAAAAAGTTAATTTTTTCAATAGCTGGAAAACCAACCAAGATGTCATGAAAATAAATAATTAACCCTTTCAGGGTTTCGGCCGTACTAGTACGGCTTACGCACAAGGGTTTCTGACGTACAAGTATGCCTAAATTCTAGCGCCCTCAAATCCAGTGAGAGAAACCTGGTAGGCCTACATATGAAAAAATGGGTCTGTGTGGTCAGTGTGCGCAGTATATAAAAAATCCTGCAGCACACAGTGCGTAATAAGAAAAAAAAAACTGACCGTGTTTTTGGATTAAAACAAACTTTGCACTGTATTTTCGTATGGTATTTTTTGTTGTATTCTAGTTTTCCTGGTCTCATTCTATAGAATGGAAGACATATTATAGAAATTGAGATGATTTTGACTGATTTTACAATGAAAAGTACCTTGAAATTGAGCTCAAAGTAGCAGAAATGTTTGATTTTTACCAAAGTTCAAAAGTAAACAAATCATGCTAAGCGTCCAATACACGTCAACTGGCGAGTCTAATATTCTTTCACAAGTGTGCCGATATTATTTATATCATTTTTTACACTAATGCAGTAGTATGCATAACAGTAAATCTATTTTTTGTGAGAATAAAAATTCAAAGTGGAAAGCAAAAGAATGTAAGAGGGGCATTGGGACGTGACTAATGAACAGAGGAAATGTCATTTTAGTGCCAGGAATGTCGACTAGTACAGTGGAATTGGCCGAAAATAGGGCTCAAAGTGGGCAAAATCGCCGCTGCGTAAACATCATCGAGACCGCTAACTTTGCGAGAGCATAATTCCGTAAGTTTTCCATCAAATTTCATACTTTTGGTGTCATTATGATTGGGAAAAGATTCTCTATCTTTTCATAAGTTTTTTTTTTTTTTTTTTTTTTCTTAAATTTGGGCGACCCTGAGAACAAGTCTCTAAGAGGGCCTGTCGACCCTGAAAGGGTTATAAAAGAACACAGTAGTAGTAGTGGTTAACAGAAAAGATGCAAAAGGCAATATCCCATTCACCTGTAGATGGGATATTGTAGGTGAAGGAAATTTTATAATTCAGTTAAAAACAAGAGGCAAAGTCAAATGGTAAATGAAAGTTCCTGTAGTGTATGTAATGATTGCTTACAGTGCATAATATTCAATTGTATAGGCAGGTTTCTTTATGAAGTTATTTATAGATGTAATGGCCCAGGTATCAGTTTTGTCATGGAATTGGTATGAGAATATAGAACAGTACGAAGGTAAATTTAAGAATGGTCTAGACTGGATTAAAAGTATTTTATGAAGGTAATAGCAAAATTATATGCTGTGGGAAAGAATAAGAATGTCATCAAAATCTTGCTAAATACAGTACTTAAATATTGGTGTTTACATGTTCTGTATGTTTTCTTTTTTATCCCTAACCCCAGACTGCTAGCCCTGCCAGATTTTCATTTACGTCATTGCAGGACCTGAGGATTTTTTTTTTTTTTTAACCTACGAATGACTGAAGTGTGACAAGTAAGGCTTCCTAATCTTGTCAACATTCATAAGAACCCATAGCTATAAACTAAAAGAGCTGGAAAAATGCTATGAAAGTGAGTGGTAGATCAATAGAATGGTTTACAGAGGTATTCCTAATTCTATAAACTTTATGGCACTTCCTGTAGTTACAAACAGGTATTCACTTATGTCACTAGGCATGAGGACATCAAGATAGTCACTTTGTGGAATGATGATGTACTAACATTTTATTGTTTATATTATTTTATTATATTTTACATTTTCTATTATATTATAAAAAATAATACAAAAAAATTACCCATGGGGGGTAAGGCCCCCACAGGTCACAGTTTAAGGGCTAATCTGATATGGTTATATAACTATCAAAGTGACATTGATAATCATTCAAATAACATTTGATTTAACAATACACTCATTGAATCTAAATTTCTGGTACCTTTTCTCGCAGCAGATGCCATATTAAGATTAAATGCCTTGTACTATAAAGAGCTAGCAGACTTTATACACATTAGCAATTTTGCAGATTTAGCTCTGGGCTTAAGTAAATCTTCAGGAAATTAGTTTGTATCTTAACCAAAATCTCTAAGCAATTATACCATGAATATAGACTACACTAAAAATTTATACAGCAATTATGTTGACCAGATTTTATAACAAAAAAAAATAATTTAGAAATTAGCTAAACATATAGGAAAGTCAACTTTTATAGATTTTTGTATTAGCTTTTCTACATCTACTTACAGCACCAATAGATTTCAGAAATTAAAACATTTCCAATAAAATGGTATCCTATGAGTTAAATCACTAAATACACTTGTAACATTGTTCATACTGGCAATAAAAATAATCTTGTGCATATTATTTAATTAAAATAAGTTTGAATACCTTCAGATTTATATATATATATATTCCACTAACTAAAACCTAGGAATCCTTAAAACAGTATAAAGACAATAACTCAAGCCAAACTGTATAATAGTATACAACTTAAACCTGTGCTTCCCTGCAGTGCAAATACTGTATATTGACTAAGAAAATGCCATTTTAAGAACAAGCAACTGTGTACTCCTGTGTGGTTGAGCCTCAGCTCCTGGTCCTGCCACAGTTAATAGGTATGATAGGCCCTATCGTACTCATTCTTAAAACTACATATGGAATTGCCTCCTCCACTTCGTCAAGGTCATTCCACTTCCCGATCACCCCGAGACTGCAGAAATACTTCTCAACGTCTCTGCAATTTGTGTGTCTAACATCCAGTTGTGCCCCCTAGTACCTGTTTTCCAGCCTCTCAATCTGCTCCTGTTTGCCCTATCAAGTCTTCCAAGTATAATATATGTCATCATGTCTCTCCTAGCCCACTCATTAAATTTTAATCCTTTAGCTTTTCCTCATAGTTCATACCCCTTAGCTCTGGAACTAGTCTGCTTACATCTGCACCTTCAGTTTCTTACCATGCTTCCCCCAAGTGTGGGTACCATACTGTTGTGTTCTGCAAGATGGTCCTGATACATAATATGTAAAGCACCTGGAGTGACTCGAGATTCCTGAAGGTCACTCAGATTTACCAGGCGAGCACTGGCTGTAGAGGTTATTCGGTTGCTGAGAGCCTCTGGCAATATGGTAGGCATTATGCTTACTCTCAGGTCCTCGTTGAATGAGGCATGTAGCCTGTCCCTTGTTGTGTGTGTATATGTATACTACATTATCCAGAGGGCTGCAGAGGTGGTTCGGACATGCAGAGAGGACGAAACAAAATAGAATGACTTGGAGAGCGTATAAATCTGTAGTGGAAGGCAGAGTAGGGGTAGGCCTAGGAATGGTTGGAGGTAGTACAGGAGGTTTTCTGTGTGAGGGGCCTGGACTGCCAGAAAGCATGCATGGGTGTGTTAGGAGCAAGTGGAGACAAATTTTTTTATGACAATGTTGTGCTGCTGGAGTGTGAGCAAAGTAACACTTATGAAGGGATTCCGGGGAAACTGGCAGGCCAGACTCGAGTCTAGCATACTGCACTCTTAAGGAGGGGTGTTAACACGTGTGTTTTTAACTGTAGTGTAGGTTCACCTCTAGCAAGACAGTGATGAAGTGAATGACGAAAGAATTTCTTTTTTTCGGGTCACCCTGCCTTGGTGGGTAATGGCTGATGTATTAATAAAAAAAAATATACAGTTGAACCTCGGTTTTCAAATTTAATTTGTTCCGGATGTTGATTCGACAACCAAAATTGACGCCAACCACAGTAATTTTTCCCATAAAGAATAATGTAAATAGAATTAATCTGTTCCAGACCCCAAATGACAATAGTGTTCTAACTACTACGTAAAACGTTTAAAATACATCACAGGGAAACTGTAAAAATGAATACTAACTGAAATACTGTACAGTAAATGAAAATTTAACTGCTCCTTACCTGTCATACTAGAAGCAGGAGGTGGGGATGTTACTGCTTGGAAGGAAAGTCACCTTCTGTTAATATGTCAGGCAACTGCTCTTCTGCTGTTGTTTCTCTTCTGTCTCTTTCACCATTAACACCTTGTTCTGGCTCACTGATTGTCTCGCTAAGAACCTATCCAGTGAGGTTTGCTTCAGGCTCTGTTTTAACACTCGTCTAAATTAAGACATTACACCGCTTTGTCTGGATGGTATTTTTCAGCAAACTCCTACACTTCACGCCATTTAGCACACATTTCCTCGACATGTGCATTGGGCACATCATCCCTTTCCTCTTCCTCCGATGATAGCTCCTCCGCTGCAATCTGTTGCTGCTCCTTCTGAAGGTCTAGAAGTTCTCTATGGTGAGTTCAGTTCTATGCCCCTCCACCAACTCCCACAGCATCTTCAGTCACCTCTAGACTCAAGGTCTTTCCCAGGGACACAATACCCTCTACCAGTTCAGGCTCATCTTCAATGCCTTTGAAATCCCTGGCTGCCACAATTTCTTCCATGCTGACTGCATGGTCCTGGAAGACACATTTCCCCAGGCTTTGTCGAAGCCTCAAACAGATGAGGATATTGAAATGGTCCTTCCAGAAATCCCTGAGGGTTAAATTTGTTTCTGAACTGACTTCAAAGCACCTTTCAAAAAGTGCTTTGGTGTAGAGTTTCTTGAAGTTAGAAATGACCAGCTGGTCCATGGGCTGGATGAGAGGAGTGGTGTTAGGAGGCAAGAACTTCACAGTTATAAAACTGAACTCCTCCAGCAACTCGTTTCCAAGCTTGGAGGGCGAGCAGGAGCATTATCCATAAGTATTATTATTATTATTATAATCAAAAAGAAGCGCTAAGCCACAAGGGCTTATCCATAAGTAAAAGGGCCCTGAGTGACAATTGGTTTTTTTTTTTTAACAAGGTACTTTCTGACAGTGGGAGCAAAGACCTCATGAACCCACTCAATAAAAAAAATTGTCGTCAACAAACAAGAGAATGTACAAAAACCAGGACATTTTTTTTTTTTCTTGAACCCCTCAAGGAAGGTTCCTTGATGTTGGTGAGGGGCTCTTGATTTAGGGAATTGGATCTGTGCTCCAGTTCCCCGAATTAAGCCTGAATGCCTTCCACACCCACCCCCCAGGCGCTGTATAATCCTCCGGGTTTAGCGCTTCCCCCTTGATTATAATAATTTTTTCTTGAACACTTCATTTAAAAACTAATTTATTCGACAAGCAATGCAATCGACAGCTGAGGTTCGACTGTATGTATACACACAACTTGTATACAGTGTGTGTACATACATACTTTAAGTTCTTTTTTACACTTCATTGGCCCTCTCCCAACAGGGCAGTGAGAAAAAATAGCTTTCATCATTCATTCTGCTGTATGACCCTTGTGGATTTAGTGCTTGGCTTTGATTGTAGTATCAAAACTAAGTGCTAAACCCACAAGGGTCATAATGATTGTAATAATCATTCATTCAATTGCTATCTTGCCAGTGTTAACATCCCAATTCAGGTGACCTTCCGAACTGTGACGTCCTCACCCTTAAGTCCAGCTAACAGGTTTCCCTCAATTCCATAAATGTTAGTCTGCTCACGCCAATAGCACATTCATTAAAATAAAAAAAATTTGTCTACTCGTATTACTCCAACAAGCTCACACAAGCTTGATGCTCAAGCCCTCTACACTGAGCTTCCTTTACCCCTCCCTCAAACAGTTCCCAGGATGATCCATAACCCCCTCCCCTCAAGCTAGGGGCAAGAGCATGCAGTAGGCTTATGTAAACATCTTAGAGTGAAAGGAGATGAGTGGTATTTATGACTTACCATGATACTGGAGTGTGAGCAAGATAACATGAAGGGATTCAGGGAAACTAGTTATATGCCAGACTTGAGTCCTGGAGGTAAAAAGTACTGTGCCTGGGGATATTGCAGTTTAGAGGATCACCTGAACTGGGATATCAGCACACTTCTGGCATTACAGTGACTGAATGAATCATTGTGAATGTTTCTTTTTTTCTGAACCACCAGCAGATGGCTGGTGTTAGTATTTTTTTTTTTAATACCCCAGCCATCTTCCACTGAGGTAGGTATATCAAAGGTAACCAAGAAAGAGGAAACACATTTACCTTCATACATTCGATTGCTGTCATGCCAGAAGTATGCTAACGAGTTCAAATATCCCTCCAAACTGCAACATCTCCACCCCTACTTTGGAAAGTAGGCACTATACTTTTCACAAGAATCCCTCATCAATGTTACCTTGCTCACACTAACAGTACATCAAAACATAAAAACCACTTTCCTTCACTCCATTCTAACATGATCACACAAGCCTGTTGGCTCAACATCTTACCCTCTCCCTCCAACTTCTTGTAGAACCCCTTTTCTTTCCATACCAGATTTATAAACCAGTATCCTCCTAGTCATCCTATATACCTAAACAGCCATCACCCAGAGGCAGAGTGATAAAAAAAATTCATTTATTCAACTGTCTTGCCAGAAGTGTGCTGACATTACAATTCAGATTACATTACTCTTAGACTACAACTCCATTCTTTTAGAGTGTAGGAACCTCCCTTCCCACCTCCAGGGCTCTTGGCCAGTTAAGCGATTTTCCTGAATTCCCTCATGTTCCCTTGCTCACACTCCAACAGCAGATCCATTAAAAATCACTTTCTCCTTTCACTCCTGCCTAATGCACTCACACAGTCTGCTAGATGCTCAAGCTCCAAAAACTCAGCCTCTTTTATCTCCCCCCTTCAACCATCCTTGGGTCAATCCTTCTTCCCCGCATTTATGCACCCTCTCATCCTATGCTTCTCCATGCAACCACATTTCAGCCCTCTAAATTTATATATAGTAAATTGTAAGAACTATCTTGTTCCTAATAACCTACCTCCACTTCACCCACAAAAAAAAATAGAATTCAAACTCTAGGGTGTAACATCAAAATACTTCAAACTAGGAGCATACAACCCAGATTCTTCCTTTTCTTAAATTCTATAAACTGGTCAATCAGTACTAATAATAGTTATATAATCAAATTACACACTAACCCAACCTTTAATTTTCAATAAAATATAGTATGATAATTATATTTTTACTAATTTAGGACTGCAAATAAAGCATTTAAAATAAAAAAAAATCAAATTTTTCATAAAAATGCTAAGTTTACAGTTGCCATTTCTCATAATATAAATTAAGGTGAATACAGCTGTTAAATAAAAATTATACCATAAATATATATTCATGCCTTGACAGCTGACTTCTAACCAAAATAATAAAAAAGTGCAAATATATTTAAATACATTATACAAAAATATTCACCTATGACATGAATAAATAAATTAAAAAAGTAAATGCAATAAATAAGTGAACTGTGCAAATAAAGGAAATAATCACTAGATTTAATATTAAGTTTAAAGAACAGAAAATTACATTTAAGGGAAGAAATAGTATGGATCAAATTTATCCAAGGTACAATGTGAAACATAGCTGTCCCTTCAGTATTAAAAATAAACTACAAAACGTGTTAGGTGCAGAATTTATAATAAAGCAAGTATTGGATATACATTTACATTACCTCTTTTAAAGGACAGATGAAATTGAGAATTTTTTTAAATATTTGTTATCGTACTTATTTTAACAACAGCTAACAGATCATAAGACGTGTAATAATCCAAAATAAAATATTTCTATAAATTAATAATTAAGAAATATTTGCAGCAAATTCAGAGCACTGCCTAACTTGAAATTAACATAACTGCAGAACATAAAGGTAGGTTGACTATCCAAACTATTATAATGATTTAAGCCCTTGTAAAAGATGCTAAGTACCATCACAATGATTACCCCTAAACTCCATCAGCAAATATTGGAAGCAAAATATACTCTGCTATCAGTGCAAACTGTGGGACCGATAGTCTCGGAGAAGTGGATATAAAGGCTTTAAGAAAATATATTTGGATTTCTTCCTGAAGCCATTTGAATATTCCACTTCCCCTACCTGCCATGAGTAAAATCTGATAAGGTAGATAAAATTACTGTACAGATAAGGGAATGATATGGCCATCATTATAGACACTGAAAACATGGTAATTATTACAATGCAAATTTTTCATGGAAAGTCCCTATTAACAGGACCAAATTATTAGTTACAAATGCATATGAAATACAGTTAATTTTGTGAAAAATATATTCTTTCAAAACAAACCACTAAGAACTCATTTTTTCTATTTTTAATTTAATGCTTGAGTGTGGAATCCAAGCAGAGAATGCCATAATATAGAACTATAAGAAAAAAGGTTTGCTTTGTTCATTCCTGAAAGAATTAATAGTAATCTTTTTACTTGCACTACTGAATTCACAATGCCTGAAATCTTTATTTCAATAATGCAGATACATAAAACACTGCTGGTTCATTATCATTCATGGCATCACTGGGACGAAGGCATTTCCAATGAGTAAATCTGAAGTGGTACTGCATAAGTTTTTTCTAAACATTCATATAAGGCAAATAATGGTATGGTACCTTCAAACAGCTTTAAATGTTAAAAAGCTAACTTTCATAAAACAAAATTAACTTTTTTATAGACTTTCACACACTATTTTAATGAAATCCACTTCAGTTGAACACACTTCTAAAACATTATTTTTAATTGAAAACATGACCTATAAATATTATCACTACCCTGTTTCCCACTTTAATAGGGTGGGGAGGCACCATGACTATTGTTTTATAATTTAGTTTAGTACTGAACAACTGTAGTTCAGAAATGGAACATTTCAATAACTTTGCAGTTTAACAAGATTGGTCAATTGTAGAACTAGGAGGGGTATTTTTTGAGCGTGCCTTAGAAAAATCCAGCTTGAGGTAGGTCTCAAACATACGTCGAGCCTGGGCTAAAACTTTATTTACATTGTGTTGTCGAACCATCTTGTCAAAGTGCATGGCTAGCTCATTGTGATCCATTTTATTTTGCATTATGTGTTGACGGTGTTGTAAGAGAAGAGTGAGGCACAGAAACATAAGAAATGGGTTACCCCCACCAAACTCTTCTGGGGGAGGCATTGTATGAACCTGTGGAGACCCACTAGCACTCATAGCAACTTGCCATCCAGTAACCTCTGTTACCTCTTCACAGGAATTAACACTAGCTGTCATGGTAGTCTCACCCTCACCATCTACTTCTGACTGATGCTGACCATTGACTTTTGGTGTCAATTGCTGAATTGTGGTAGGTTGCTCTTCCTGGCAAACAATTTGCAAATGTTGATCAGTCTCTGGTGACAGTGTAGCAACAGGATTCTGCCAAACATCTACTTCCCCGCCATCAGAGTATACAGGTACACCAACATCTGCATCCGAGTCTGAAAAACATCTTCGAGATTTGTTGCTTTTATTTTCACAAGAAACTGGTAGTGGCTTAGAATACTCCTCTTTGTTTTTATTGGATAATGTCTTTTTGTCTCTGCATGGTGAAGCTGGGTTACTTTCACAATCAGAATCTTTATTTTTAGTCAAGAGCTGGAACTCTCTTAGATTCCTGATTTTTCTGATATTCCTGGTAGGGCTGTCCTCCGGTGAAGTACTTTCCTCTCGTATCCTATCAACATTTATAGCAGTTTCCCCACTTGGTACACGCACTCTCACACGAGAAGTGTCAATTGGCTGTGACCAGGTTCTACTTAGTTTTTTACCACCTGCACCAGTTTCAGGCCCATCACAGTCCACACTGGCTGCTCTTCTACTAAGGATGGCTGCAAGGCACTCAGCACTTCTATTTGATACACACGACCTTTGTCGTCTCAGAGCACACACATTATCATAATGACTTTGTCGTGGTGTTGGTGGGGGTATAGGTGTCTTCTCCTCTTGAACTGGATTAAATGGTACCTGAAATGTAAACTTCAGGTATTATACAATTTGGAGATGTTACAGACTGAAATAGCAATATAAGAAATTGAAAATTGTTACATTACAGTAGGGGTCCCAACTTATGACATTTTGCACATCCTGTAAACACTGATCTGCAGTTATGATTAGTGCAAATATTCAAACAAATTATTCAATTTTTTGTATATAACAAATGCTTTAATACAGTACCGTGCACATGTTCACTTTATACACGTGTAGAGCTCACATGTGTTTGGTAGAGATTGATCAAGAATGATAGATTTAATACAGTATTTGTGATTTTCTTTAGACTGAATTCTAAAAGCAAAATTGCTGTTAGTTTTTACAAAAATGCATTTATGCTTTGTATATATTCATTTTATACATCTGTTATGAAGTTATCTGTTAGTGGTTCTGAGGATTACCTTCCTACCATATTAGATTTCAAAAAATTTATCTTATTTTTTTCGCAGTTCTCATTCAGGAGAAATTCAGATGCAAATTTCTTGTGCGAGATCAACGGACTTAACTGTTCGTGACTTCCTTCTTTGGGGGTACATGAAGAGCACAGTTTATGTACCACCACTACCTGCAGCCCTGGAGGAGCTGAAAATTTTGATCACTGAAGCAGTTCGCATGATAACACCAGATATGTTGCAGAGCATCTGGACCAAACCGGACTATCGCATTGATGTTTGCCGAGCAACCAGAGGGGCGCACATTGAGTGCCTTGAATGCTACCCTATACCACATGACACTGAATGAAACCCTGCATCTGAAGCTACTAACTGTGAAAGATTATTACAATAAAGTTACACGTTAAACCTGTTTGAAATCAGGGAGTGTTTTTGTAGACACCCTGTATTATAGTATACACAGCTTCTCTGGTGTTGGAGTAGAGAAAATTAATTCTTGCTGTCACTCCTACAAGCCACTCAGCTACCACAACCTCACATTTTGTCAATTTGTTATACAGTGGACCCCCCGAGTTTAATGATTAATCCGTTCCAGAGAGCCTGCCGAAAGTCGAAATTGCCGAATGGCGAAACCATTTTCCCCATAAGAAATAATGGAAATAAAATTAATCTGTTCCAGACACCCAAAAATATTAAAATAAAATATTTTTTTCAAATTAAATAAAGATTTGCATACTGAAAACAATGAGAAATCAAGTACATGCATATAAAAAATAATAATAACATTACACATACCTTTACTGAAGACTTCTGGGTGGATGGAAGACGGGAGGAGGGGATAGGAGGAAGGTGTATACTACTGTTTGGAAGGAGAATCTCCTTCCATTAGGACTTCAGGTATGAAGTCCTCATCTGGGGTTACTTCCCTTCTTTGTTTTTTAAAGACACTGGCACTGGGAACAACTTGAGAGTCACTGGAACCCTGTCACACAAAATATATGTCCAGAGAGCTCTATTTCTGGCATTTCTTTAAGATTTGTCTGAAGTGGGACACAACACTGTCATTGTACATGTTGCCAATATGGCCTGCAACAGCTTTGTGAGGGTGAAGTTCATCCACAAATGTTTGCACACAACAGTAACCTCTCCACTTCTTCGAGGATTTGTGATCTCCTTTTTGTCAGCATATCTACCCCTTTTGCAACAACAGCACACTTTATTTTATTTCCTTTCCTTTCACCACAATCGAAGTGATGGTTGAATGGGGTTTGCCATACATCCTGGCAAGCTCTGTAACACGCACTCCACTCACATTTTTCAATGATTTCCTTCTTGAATTCGATCGTGTTCCTCACTTTCTTTACCAAAGGGCTTGCACTAGCTTTCCTTGGGCCCATGGTGACTTATTTAGCAGTTGCAATCACAAAAGACAATGGATTATTACGTATGAACCCGCGGGGTGATGGTCACGTGTTGGTAAACAATGGCACACTGAGCGTGAATGGTGTGGGAGACTGGCTTTGTGTGCATGGTGACGGGCGGACGGGTACCAGACGGTCGCCGAATCATGAGTCTAATCATGAACCGCGAGGCCAAATTTTGCTGAAAAAACTTGCCAAAAGTCGGATTTCACGAAAGTCGATGCTGCCGAAACTCGAGGGTCCACTGTACTATGGTTATCTGTACATGTATTACGTTTATATAATACAGTGGTCCCTCGTTTTTTGTAATTAATCCGTTCCTGGAGGAGCTACTATAAACGAAATTTACGATTTGCAAATCAATTTTCCCCATAAGAAATAATGTAAATACAATTAATCCGTTCCTGACACCCAGAAGTATTAAAACAAAAAAATTTTTTACATGAAATATACATGTAGTACATAAACAATACAATGGGAAATGACGAATGAAACATTAACAGCATAACACTTACCTTCATTGAGAGTTCTTCTTAGTGTATGGGGGACTGGAGGAGGAGAGAGATTGGATTGTTTATAGTTTGGAAGGGGAATCCCCTTCCATCAACACCTCAGGTACCATTTGCTTTTCTGGGGTTGCTTCTCTTCTCTGTTTCTTAATGCCACTAGGACCACCTTGAGAGTCACTGGAGTCCTGTCTCGCAAAATAACTGTCCAGAGAGCTCTGTTTCTGGCGTCTCTTTAACACTTCCCTAAAATGGCCAAAGACTGTCACTGTACATGTTGCCAACATGGCTTGCAACAACCTTGTTAGGGTGATGTTTCTCCATAAAGCTTTCCATCTTACCCCACATAGTAAAAATCTCTTTAATTTCTGAAGAAGGCACCTTCTTCCATCTCTCTTCCCCCTCCTCTGCAGCAAGATTCTGAGCTGCGATCTGTTGCTTTTCCTGCTGAAGCTCTTGCAGCTCCTCAGTGGTGAGCTCTTCATTGTGGTCTTCCACCAATTCTTCCACATCCTCCAAACTCACATCCAACCCCATGGAACTCCCCAGTGCCACAATTGATTTTACAACAGACATAGGCTCATCAGGGTCAGTCCCAAACCCTTCAAAATCCCTCTTGTGGACACAATCTGGCCACAATTTTCTCCAGGCAGAGTTCAAAGTCCTGGTAGTCACTCCCTCCCAAGCCATACCTATAAGGGTTATGCAATGGAGGATGCTGAAGTGTTCTCTCCAAAATTCCCTTAGGGTCAAGTGAGTGTCTGTGGTCACAGTCAAGCACCTGTGAAACAATGCTTTTGTGTAGAGCTTTTTAAAGTTTGCAATGACCTGCTGGTCCATGGGCTGGAGGAGAGGAGTGGTATTCGGGGGCAAGAACTTTACTGTGATGAACCCAAACTCCTCGAAAATTAGGTCATCCAAGTTTGGAGGATGAGCAGGTGCATTGTCCATTATTAGCAGGCAGACGTTTCGCCATCCAGTGGCTTTATCAATACAGATTCTAGGACATAATAGGAAGACAGTACTGTCTTCCTATTATGTCCTAGAATCTGTATTGATAAAGCCACTGGATGGCGAAACGTCTACAATAAAGATATCCAGATGTTGCACATGTGTCTTAACTTTCATATTGTCGGTATTTTATACCTTTCTTGCACAACTTGTCAGACACTGCAACATCATGGAATCTTGGTTCAGAGGGCATCTACAAGACCTTCTTCACGGCTGCTGCAACTAACCCATCTCTTTGGGAAGGACCTACTTCCACTGGGGAATCCCGCCTACCAGTGACTATGCCCTCGTCTGCTGCCCGTCCCTATCCACTGATGCCTATATAATAGCCAGTCTTCTTGCCTTTGCTCCAGATTCTCCTCCACCATGATGCTGTGAACACTAACACCAAGGCTGAGGGACTGATTACCTCATCTTTTGTATATAGTTCTACTGTCTTCCTATTATGTCCTAGAATCTGTATTGATAAAGCCACTGGATGGCGAAACATCTACAATAAAGATATCCAGATGTTGCAAATGTGTCTTAACTTTCATATTGTCGGTATTTTATACCTTTCTTGCACTACTAGCAGGCACTTTGAGATCCAATTTCTTTTCCAGGAGATACTCCTTCACACTAGGGCCAAACACTTCATTGAACCACTCGACGAAAATTTCCCTCGTGACCCATGCCTTACTATTAGATTTCCAAAACACACACAATTTACTCTTCATAACATTTTTTTCCTGAACACTCTGGGATTTTCAGAATGGTACACTAGTAATGGCTTCACTTTGAAATCCCCACTAGCATTAGCACAGAATATTAGCGTCAGCCTGTCTTTCATAGGCTTGCGTCCCAGCATTGCCTTTTCCTCCTGTGTAATGAAGGTCCTCTTTGGCATTTTCTTCCAAAACAGGCCTGTTTCGTCACAATTGAACACTTGTTCAGGTTTCAGTCCTTCAGCCTTGTGGTCTGAACTGGCAGCCCCACCATGCCTTACCACACTGTGTATGCCAGTACGGTTCTTAAATCTCTCAAACCAGCCTTTGCTGGCCTTAAATTCACTCACATCACCACTAGTTGCAAGCAATTTCTTTACCAAATCGTCATGCAACTGCCTAGCCTTTTCACAAATAATCAAAGTCAAGAGTATCTCCTGCTAATTGTTTCTCATTTATCCACACCAATAATAACTTCTCAACCTCTTCGAGTACTGGTGATCTCATTTTTGTCAGCATAGTTACCCCCTTTGCAACAACAGCATCCTTGATTTCCTTTTTCTTGGCCACTATGGAACATAAGGTTGTGTAGGGTTTCTTATACATCCTGGCCAGTTCGGCCACACTTGTACCACTTTTATATTGTTCAATGTTTTTCTTAAATTCAATCGTATTTCTCACCTTCTTTACCACAGGCTTGGCACTAGGAGCTTTCTTTGGAGCCATGGTAGCTTTAGTACTTGCAAGCACTAAAATAAATGGAATATTATGAAATATTTTGCTGGAGCACGTGAGGGGACCTTCGCTCACTGGTAAACAATGCCAGACTGGCTGCCGCCACGGCTCACGCCGTGGGTACGCGTCCCGGACGAACTACGACTCGCGAGTCAACCTATGAAAAGCGAGCCCATGTTTATACGAAAATATCCCTATGATTTCCGAAATTTACAATTGCCGAGAACTACGAAAAGCGAGGGACCACTGTATATAGTATGTTTCTTACATAATTATGAAAAAATATCATAGATGGATTAACCCTTTGAGGGTTTTCGTCGTACTAGTACGTCTTACGCGTAGGGGTTTTTGACGTACTAGTACTCATAAATTCTAGCGACCTCAAATCTAGTGGGAGAAAGCTGGTAGGCCTTCATATGAAAGAATGGGTCTATGTGGTCAGTGTGCACAGTCTAAAAAAAATCCTGCAGCAAACGGTGCATAATGAGAAAAAAAAAACTTTTTCCATTTTTTTTTAATAAATCAGCGACTTTGCAGTGTATTTTCGTATGGTAATTTATTGTTGTATTCTAGTTTTCTTGGTCTCATTTTATAGAATGGAAGACATATTACTGAAATTGAGATGATTTTGACTGTGTTTTACAATGAAAGGTGCCTTGAAATTGAGCTCAAAGTGGCAGAAATGTTCGATTTTTACCAAACTTCAAAAGTAAACAAATCGTGCCAAGCGGCAATACACGTCAACTGGTGAGTCTAATATTCTTTACACAAGTGCACCAATAATATTTATACCATTTTTTACACTAATGCAGTAGTCTGCATAACAGTAAATCTTATATTTTTTGTGAGAATAAAAATTCAAAGTGGAAACCAAAGAATATAAGAGTGGCCTTGAGACGTGACTAATGACTAAGGTAAATGTCAATTTTAGTGCCAGGAATGTCTTTCTTGTTTATTCGTGACCCTATTCCGAAATTGGCATCTTTTGAAATTTGTGTGAAATTGGCAAAATGCTAAATTCTGACCACTGTACTGGATAGTTGAATTTATAAATGGGTGGTTTCTTGCACCCATTCGATAGAAAAAATGGAGATCTAGCGAAATATTCATGTTTTTTGTCGACTAGTACAGTGAAATTGGCCGAAAATGGGGCTCAAAGTGGGCAAAATCGCCGATCCGTAAACATCGCCGAGACCGCTAACTTTGCGAGAGCATAATTCCGTAAGTTTTCTATCAAATTTCAAACTTTTGGTGTCGTTATGATCGGGAAAAGATTCTCTATCTTTTCATAAGAGAAAATAATTTTTTTTTTTTTTTTAAATTTGGCCGACCCTGAGAACGAGTTTCGGAGAGGGCCTGTCGACCCTCAAAGGGTTAAGTCTTTCATTGTCAGTCCCGTAATATTACAGCTTGAGAGCCAGTGTCGGTCCCGTAATACTATGCCAAAATTCTAGCGACTTCAAATCTAGCGGGGAAAGGCTGGTAGGCCTACATGAGAGAGAATGGGACTACATAGTCAGTGTGCACAGTAGGAAAAAAATCAGGAGCCAGTGGTGCATTGTGGGAACGCCATTTCAGTATGCCTTATATACCATGCCTCGCAGTAAGAAATACCTCACTCCTTGGCAAACTGGGACTATTTTTCCCAAGTGACGGTTCTAACACAGATGGAAGTGTCAGTGAAGATAAATTTCATGGTTTTGAGGAGTTTGTGACCAAAAGCTATGCCCAGGAAACCAGAAGGAAGGAAGAAAGAAAAAGGAAGGAAGGTAGGAAGGGCAACCCAGATGACCAACCTAGGATAACCCAAAAAAGTCAGACAAAGTGACTTATTTCCATGTGGGTGGTAGGGAAGACAACATGCTTGATTGGAAAGACAGTGTGGGTAATGGGTGATGGTGATTTTGTAATGCGTCATTGTTACACCAGCCACGCCACTCTCAGCACATAATATACGTTTATTTTTGACTGCACTGGGAAGTGGCGCCCTTAACCCCCGCAGTGTTCAAGGATCAACTCTACTGTGTTTTAAGTTAAAAATAAATTAAATTAGATAGATTATAATTTCTGAATACTACCTGTGAATAATGAGGAATTTGTTAAGGTCATATAATGGGAATCTACTATAATGCACTTTTTTCTTCTAATATTCTGGCTTACTATGATTGCCTAAAGTGTACAAACCTTAGTACTGTACAATTATATTGTTACAAAAAACATTCAGGCTATGACCACATGAAACATTAAAATGTCAGACCTCAAATAATGGCAAAGACTCCTCTGGTGGGTTTGGTGGAAGGGAACTCCAAAGAACTTCTAACATATAGAGGGCATCTTCAAAGGCAAACTCCCGTTTCAACTCCAATAATAACCACCGGTAACAAAAGAGAAGGTCATCGGCCTGTAAGGAACAATGTACAGTGTATAATATATCAAAAAGAAAATGAAATATTTTCCCTGGATTTTTCACTCACTTTAAAATGTCTTCTTAACCTATTTATTTTATTGCTAATTAGTGTATTCTACTATTATTACATGTAACAGATGGTAAAAATATTAAAGATATTGTATTTTATGTCTAACATTTTTTCTCCATTTCTCAGGACACTGGCACAAGAGCACAGAAATACCATACAATAGAAACTTAAAACAGTCAAACTGTATAATTATTATTATTTCTTGTATTCAGATTTTTTCCAAATTAAGACTTTAAACTTTAAATTTAGAATGATTTCTTCAATTTGTACAGAAATGTGGTAAAAAAAAAAAATTTGCAAGGCATCTTTTATCTTCTCTTTCAACTTTATTCCATACTGGAGTTTGTGTATTGTTATATGTATGATGTACACCACTAAAACCCTCACCTGATGAACCTGCAGATAAGAGAAGTATTCTATATCATAAAATATAAGAGCTTCAGTGAGATGCTGAAATTTGAGAGTCATAGCATCCCCATCAATATGAAAGTTGGAGTGTACACGAGCCATGAGTGCACAGAAGCACACGTATGCCTGTGCTTCATCTCTCATGGTTACCAAAAGGGGTGAGGCCAAGTCACTCATGCCTTGGCAATATCCAATTGATGGGTGATTCAGCGCATATCTGTTTCCAAGAAAATTAACGATAAAAACTTAATTATACTATACGTACTTTTTACAAGATCGGCACACTGTTTAGTCACTACAATCTGAGATTGTTAGACTGTTCAAGAGAAATGCTTCAAAATTTATTGCATAAAAAACAATTCCTAATACAAAAAAAAAAAAAAAAAAAAAAAAAAAAAAAAAATTATTAGTATACACTAATATTCATTATTCATTCATTCATTATTATTAAAGCCAATAATAAGTCGACAAAACGCAGCTGTATGAATGATCACCCATTCTAGTGCCAGGCAACACACTCATCCACTCTTCAAAAGTATAAACTTACTTAATATATTTACATAAAATTCACTCATACTACTCTGCATATTACATATACAGGACAATCAAGTCTTACATCAAGCCTTCCCTGAAACTCTTGATAACTCCAATAGAACTCATAGGCGTAATCTTCTTTTCTTTCAACAAACCGGCCGTATCCCACCAAGGCAGGGTGGCCCAAAACGAAAAACAAAAGTTTCTCTTTTCAAATTTAGTAATTTATACAGGAGAAGGGGTTACTTGCTCCTGGCATTTTAGTCACCTCTTACAACACACATGGCTTACGGAGGAAGAACTCTGTTTCACTTCCTCATGGAGATAAGAGGAAATAAACAAGAACTAGAAAGAAAATAGCAGAAAACCCAGAGGGGTGTGTATATATATGCTTGTACATGTATGTGTAGTGTGACCTAAGTGTACGTAGAAGTAGCAAGACGTACCTGAAATCTTGCATGTTCATGAGACAGAAAAAAGGACACCAGAAATCCTACCATCATGTAAAACAATTACAGGTTTTCGTTTTACACTCACTTGGCAGGACGGTAGTACCTCCCTGGGCAGTTGCTGTCTACCAACCTTCTACCTATAATAGGCATAATACCAGACAAAAATCTCTAGATATTCCCTATATCTGACTCAATCTGTGTAAAAACTCAATGCAAATAAAAGGACCTAAAATCTGGAACACACTGCCTGAAGATTACAGAGGCTACCTATCTGCCAAAAAATTCAAAGCAACTGTTAAAAAGCACCTCCCTACCTTAATGTGATCCTGACAATTTATTATGCCAAACATATCCTTGAAATATACAAATAACCCTCACATATGTGACTGAAACTTATGATAATATTTCAGTCAGACTTGGACCATTAACTTGTCGCAATAAAGAGCAGAGGGAAGAAAGCCAGTACATATATACTCAACAAAAAGTATAGCCTAGGACTCATTCACAAAGACACCAAAACATATTCTGCAACACTATCTTAATTAGAAGATCCAAACAGATTTACTATTCTGACATTAAATGAAACTAAAGGTAACATAAAAAGTACTGTACTTAAAAAACCCTTCCTCAACATCTAGGAATAAACAGAACTCATAAGAAATGTGTAATTTTTTTTACACATCAGCCATTTCCCGCTAAGGCAGGGTGACTCGAAAAAAACAAACACATTAATCATCAATCACTCCATCACTGCCTTGCCAGAAGTGTGCCTACACTACAGTTAAAAAACTGCAACATCAACACCCCTCCTTCAAGGACAGGCACTGTACCTCCCACCTCCAGGACTCAAGTCCAGCCTGCCGGTTTCCCTGAATCCCTTCATAAATGTTATTTTTGCTAACACCTTAACAGCACGTCAAGTCGTAAAACCCATTCATTTCCACCCGCTCCTATCTAACACACTTATGCACGCCTGCTGGAAGTTCAAAGCCCCTTGCACACAAAACCTCCTTTACCCACTCCCTCCAACCATTCCTATGCCAACCCCTACCCCACCTTCCCTCCACTACAGATTTATACACTCTCCAAGTCATTCTGTTTTGTTCCATCTTCTCTAAATGTCCAAACCACCTCAACAACCCCTCCTCAGCCCTCTGGATAATAATAATTCTTCTTTCAACAAACCGGCTGTATCCCACCGAGGCAGGGTGGCCCAAAAATAAAAACAAAAGTTTCTCCTTTTAAATTTAGCAATACAGTGGAACCTCGGTTTTTGTGATTAATCCGTTCGAAACAGTCTGACAAAAACCGAATTTTACGAAAACTGAAGCAATATTTCCCATTAAAAAATAATGTAAATCCAATTAATCCGTTCCAGACACCCAAAAATATTAAAAAAAAATACATTGTTTAAAGATTAACTATAGTTTTACATACAGAAAACAATGAGAAATAAATATAAATAACTAATGAAAAGGATAAAAGAACATTTAACATCACTTTTACCTTTAATGAAAACTCTTGTTGGAGTATGGAAGACGGCGAGGAGAGGAGAGGGAGGAGGAGAGGTTGTTGCTTGAAAGGGGAATCCCTGTCCATAAGGAATTCAGGTATCAAGGCCCTATCCAGGGTTACTTCCCTTCTTTGTCTTTTACTGGCACTAGGACCAGCTTGAGTCACTGGACCCCTGTCGCACAAAAAAAATCTGTCCAGAGAGGTCTGTTTCTGACATCTCTAAGATTTGCTTAAAATGGGACAAGGCAATGTCATTGAACATGTTGCAAACATGGCTTACAAAAGCTATGTTAGGGTGATATTTCTCCACAAAACTTTGCACGCATGTCCTTAATCACTGAAGAAGGCACATTCTCACCTCTCTCTTCCTCCTCCTCTAAAGCAATTTTCTCAGATGCAGTCTGTTGCTGTTCCAGTTGAAGGTGTTGCAGCACTTCAGTGGTTAGCTCTTCCCTGTGGTCATCCACCAACTCTTCCACATCCTGGCCACTCACATCCAATTCCATGGACTTCTCCTTTCGCAACATCAGCTTCCTTGATTTCTTTTTTCATCTCCAGGATGGAACTGATCGTTGATGCTGACTTCCCGTACATCCTGGCGAGATCGGTCACACATACGCCACCTTCGTACTTTGCTATGAGTTCTTTCTTGAATTCTATCATGTTTCTTGCCTTCTTTATCAAAGGGCTGGCACTCGGAACTTTCTTTGGCCCCATGGTGGCTTATTTAGCAGTTGCACTCAATAAACAAGCACAAAAAACAACGGATTATTACAAAATATTTCAGATAAATGCATGGGTGATGCTCACTCAACGAGAAATAAAGGCAGAGTGAGTGTGTGGGCACTCGATTCCGGGAAATGAGTGGCCGAGTCATGCGGGCAGGCGGACGAGTTTGGTATGGATCATTTTCAACTGTATGAAAGCCGAGTGGATATACGAAAACTGGAACAAAATTTCAACGAAAGGAGTCGTCGAAAACTGAATCGTACAAAAACTTGGGCATATGAAAACTGAGGTTTGACTATACATATATAAGAAAGGGTTACTAGCCCCTTGTTCCTAGCGTTTTAGTCACCTCTTATGACACGCATGGCTTACAGCGGAAAGATTCTTTTCCACTTTACTGTGGAGATGAAAGGAAATGAAAAAAAAAACAACAATTTGGAAAAACAGAAGATTCAGATCGGTGTGTGTACACACTTTTTTTTTTTTTTTAACACGGCGGCTGTCTCCCACCAAGGCAGAGTGACCCAAAAAAAGAAAAAAAAACTTTCACTACCATTCACACATAACCACTCTGGGCAGAGGTGCCCAGATACAACAGTTTAGATGTCACTCCAAACCTTTCCTTGGAAGTGCAGGCATTGTACTTCCCACCTCCAGGATCAAGTGTGCCTAAGCAGAGGTAGCAAGACATACTTGTTTTCCTGCATGTTTACGAGATAGAAAGAAAAAGACACCAGCAATCCTACCACTGTGTAAAAGAGGTTTCCATTCCACGCGCATTTGGCAGGATGGTAGTACGTCCCTGGGTGGTTGCTGTCTACCAACCTACTACCTTAAAGGTATAACTCTGTAGATAATTCACATACCCTATCAGCTTTTGACACTGCTAATGACTTCAATAGATATTTTTGGCTTACAGCAACATCACTCAGATCCAAACCAATACCAGTATTAATAGGTTTCTTATTAGCAACTACCCCAATTCCTTGTACTTATCACATATCATTGCCTCCGAAGTAGATTTCCATAACAGAATAACTTGAAAATACCTATTTAACATCCACGTGGACTTATGACCAGCTCTCTGACCAGTTGGTATTGTACTGACAAACACGTCGATGTCATAAATAAAAACACTGTGGAACTTGCTAATATGCTTAATTTAGATGTTGAAGTGGAAGATATTGAAAAATTAGTGGAATATTTCAAGGGAGAGCTGCATTTTTATGTTCTGTAATATGCAAGAGTTATGCAAATTAAAACAGAGTTATCAAGCTGGAGTTTCCTTTAGACCTTTCCTTTATTCAGAATAAATAAAAATTATTACCTGTATTTACAGTATGCATTAAAACAATATCTAAAGATGGTTGACACAAACCCTCTACCAGTACAGTATGCTTGAAACATTGGTAAAGGGCAGCTCTTCACTTATTGATCGATTTGCTTACCGACCTACTCACAGGAACAAAACTCGGTTAAGTGAGGAGTGCCTGTACCAATATTTATATAAATAAGGCAGAGAATTCATAGTGTGGAAATCAGAAGGTCTGGAGTTACTAAAAGTATTGGTCAAAGGGCTGAAGAGGAGTTGTTGAGGTGGTTTGGTCATTTAGAGAGAATGGAACAAATAGAATGACTTGGAGAGCATATAAATCTGTAGGGAAAGGAAGGTGGGATAGGGGTCATCCTTGAAAAGGTTGGAGGGAGGGGGTAAAGGAGGTTTTGTGGACGAGGGGCTTGGACTTCCAGCAAGCATGCATGAGTGTGTTAGAAATGAATGGAGACGAATGGTTTTTGGGATCTAATGAGCTGTTGGAGTGTGAACAGGGTAATATTTTGTAAAGGAATTTAGGGAAACCAGTTAGCTGGACTTTAGTCCTGAAATAGGAAGTACAGTGCCTGCACTTTAAAGGAGGGGTTTGGGTTACTGGCAGTTTGGAGGGACATTTAAACTGTCGCATCTGAGTGCCTCTGCAAAGACAGTGATTATGTATGAGTGATGGTGAAAGTGTTGAATGGTGATGAAAGTTTTTTCTTTCTTTTTGGGTCACCCTGCTGCATTGGGAAACGGCTGACGTGTTAAAAAAGAAAAAAGGCATCACATGCATTATCACCTGCCATTGTACTCTTCTATAAATCACTTTATCTGAAAACTTTTCCAGACATCTTCAAAATGCTTAGCGTAACCCCATTTCATAAAGGTGGAGATCTCTCTGACATTAACTATAAGCCAATTTTAAACCTACCAATATTGTCAGAAATATTTGAAAAAATAAAAATTTTTTTTTAACACATCGGCTGTTTCCCACCAAGGCGGGGTGACTCAAAAAGAAAGAAAAAGCCAAAAAGAAAGAAAAATACTTTCATCATCATTCAACACTTTCACCATCACTTATACGTAATCACTGTCTTTGCAGAGGCGCTCATATACGACAGTTTAAAAGTCAACCTCCAAACTGCCAATATTCCAAACCCCTCCTTTAAAGTGCAGGCATTGTACTTCCCACTTCCAGGACTCGGGTCTGGCTAACCGGTTTCCCTGAATCCCTTCACAAAATATTACCCTGCTCACACTCCAATAGCTCGTCAGGTTCCAAAAACCATTCATCTCCATTCACTCCTATCTAACACGCTTACACATGCTGGAAGTCCAAGCTCCTCGCCTACAAAACCTCCTTTACCCTCTCCCTCCAACCTTTTCAAGGATGACCCCTACCCTGCCTTCCTTCCCCTACAGATTTATATGCTCTCCAAGTCATTCTACTTTGATCCATTCTCTCTAAATGACCAAACCACCTCAACACCCCTCTTCAGCCCTCTAATACTTTTAGAAACTCCACACCTCCTCCTAATTTCCACACACTGAATTCTCTTCATAATATTTACACCACACATTGCCCTTAGACAGGACATTTCCACTGCCTCCAGCTGCCTCCTCACTGCAGCATTTGCAACCCAAGCTTCACACCCATATAAGAGTGTTGGTACTACTATATTTTCATACATTCCCTTCTTTGCCTCCCTGGATAATGTTTTTTGTCTCCACAGATACCTTAACGCACCACTCACCTTTCTTCCTTCATCAATTCTATGGTTACTCTCATCCTTCATAAACCCAAATATCTGAAAACATTAATTTCTTCCATACTCCCTCTCTCCAATGTGATATCCAATAAATATTTGTGCCCCAACCCTTTCTTCATAATTTTATCTTATATCCTGTTATAATATTTTTTTATTAATTTTGAGCTGTGGGTGCCAAGTTGCCATTCTTTTTGCCAGCTTATCAAATCTATATTTTAAAAAATTAAAATCAAATATTTTTTTACAGGACTGTAGAGAATTTTAAATAAGATGTAAATGTTTACATTTTCATTTGTAACCATTATTATGTCCACTTAAAAGAAAAACTGAACAGTAGTAGTTTATATAGTTTTCCTTACTCTATCACAACAGTTTATAACCCCTATTGTACGTCCAGCTACCATACATTTAACTTGGTAATGGTATTAATGTATATATGTATTATTAACCACATTCTAAGTTATTAATTTAAAAAGTCATCATTTTACCTGAAAATTTTATTGTACTCAACATCATTACAAATTACAAAAATTTCCACAATATGAAAAACACACTAACTTACGTGGTTAATATGCTGTAGAGAGACTGAACATTGGTGTTGTCATCAGGTCCACTAAAGTAAGAATGATGTCTATCTGTGCGCAAGACATCCTTACGAACCATATTTGTCACATATTTCACCTCCTCACTAACCTGCTGCATGAAGGAATGAACTCAGAACTTAAATCATGCATAAATTTTATTAAATTCTTTTCCTATGCCATTTTTTAACCCCAGCAGTCTCCTAGCAAGGAGAGGGGTGACCTGAAAAAAAAAAAACTTTCACATCACTTATTTGATCACTGTCTTGCCAGAGGCATACTGATACTGCAGTTCAGATGCCCCTCAAAACTGTAAATATCTCCACCCCTCCTTCAGAGTGTAGGCACTGTACTTTCCACCTTCAGGACTCGAGTCCAACTTATGGTTTCCCTGAATTTCTTCAGATGCGTTACCTTGCTTACATTCCGACAACACGTCAAGTAATAAGCATTGGCCTTCAGTCACTCCTATCTGACATGCTCACACAAGTCTGCTGGATGTCCAAACCCCTGCCTTTAAACTGTCTTTAACCCCTTCCTCCAACCTTTCCTAGGGCAACTCCTTTTCTGCCTTCCCTCCACTACAGATTTATACACCTTCTAAGTCATCCTATTTCTCTCCATTCTCTTTAAATGTCCAAACCACCTCAACAGCCCTTCCTCAGCCCTCTGGATAATACTTTTAGTAACCCCGCACCTCCACCTAGTCTCCAAATTACAAACTCTATGCATGTTAGGTAAGACACATATGCAACAGTTAGGTATCTTTATTTCGAAACGTTTCGCCTACACAGTAGGCTTCTTCAGTCGAGTACAGAAAAGTTGATAGAAGCAGAAGATACTTGAAGACGATGTAATCAGTCCATCACCCTTAAAGTTTTGAGGTGGTCAGTCCCTCAGTCTGGAGAAGAGCATTGTTCCGTTGTCTGAAACAATATGAAGTTGAAGTGACAGGATGGAGCCTTTATATAGTGCCAGGAGGTGAGACGTAGGTTGCTTTGGGAGGGCAGGTCCCTCTCAAACCCAGCCGTTCTCACTAGTAGAGGTCGAAGTTGATGGTCTGTACCAAGATACCCTTGTGTTGCAGTGTCTGACAGAATGAACATTAAAATATACCATTTTAATGTTCATTCTGTCAGACACTGCAACACAAGGGTATCTTGGTACAGACCATCAACTTCGACCTCTACTAGTGAGAACGGCTGGGTTTGAGAGGGACCTGCCCTCCCAAAGCAACCTACGTCTCACCTCCTGGCACTATATAAAGGCTCCATCCTGTCACTTCAACTTCATATTGTTTCAGACAACGGAACAATGCTCTTCTCCAGACTGAGGGACTGACCACCTCAAAACTTTAAGGGTGATGGACTGATTACATCGTCTTCAAGTATCTTCTGCTTCTATCAACTTTTCTGTACTCGACTGAAGAAGCCTACTGTGTAGGCGAAACGTTTCGAAATAAAGATACCTAACTGTTGCATATGTGTCTTACCTAACAATCTGTCGGTATTTTATACCATTTTAATGTTCAAACTCTATGCATATTTAAGCCACACATTCTCCTCAGACACGACATCTCCACTGCCTGCACCATCTTCCTTGCTGCAACATTTACAACTCTCGCTTGACACCCATATTAGTGTTGGTACCACTATACTCTCATACCTTATTGTCTCCATGCATAACATTCATTGTCTACACAAATGCCTCAATGCACCACCCACCTTGCTTCCCTCATCAATTCTACGGTCCACCTTGTCTTTCAGACCCATCAGCCAACAAGTCCCCTCCCAAATATCTGAACACATTCACTTTCTCCATACTCCCTCCTTCCATTCTCATATCCAATCTTTCATTACCTAAATTTTTTGTTTCCCTCATCACCTTGCTCTTTCCTTTGTTCACTTCTACTTTCCTTCTTTTACATACCCTCTCAGATTCATCCATCAACCTTTGCAATGTCTCTTCAGAATCTCCCAAAATTCCAGTGTCACTGGCTGTGACAATTCCCACTTAGTATTAGATTCTGTATATTTTAATCCCACATCTCTCCCCAATACCCTAGCATTCACATCTTTTACAACCCCATCTGTTAAACAACCATAGTGACATCATGCATCCCTGTCTAAGGCCTACTTTTAGTGAAAAATAATTGCCCTCTCTCCTACATACCTGAACTTAAGCCTCACTATCCTCATTAAAATCTCTTAACTGCTTTCAGTAACTTACCACCTATTTTATACACTTGTAATATCTGCTACATAACTCCCATATCCACCCTATTATATGCCTTTTCTAAATCCAAAAATGCAAAGAAAACTTCCTTACTTTTATCTACATATTGTCCACTTATATGCTTCAATATAAATACTTGGTCTACACATACCCTACCCTTTCTAAAGGCTCTTTGTTCATCTGCAATCCTGCTCTCTGTCTTACTCTCACTGTAGCTACAACTAAATACTAATATGATATGATACATCTGTTGCCCCTCTATAAACATGCATATCCTGAAGTCTATCCACCATCCTTTTACCAACAATACACGGTCCAACAAACTGTTGTCATTAAGCCTATCATATCATATCTCATTAACTTATTTTTTTTTTAAATATATATTGCCTATTAACAAACCTCATTCTATATGAAGTTCAATCAAAGGTCCCCCTGTTATTATCATTTACCCCTGGAATCCCAAACTTACCTACAACACCCTCTACAACAGTTTCTCCCACTACTCTTTAATACATATTTAATTAATAGGATGACCTGGAGGGCATATATCTGTAGTGAAGGTAAGGCAGGGTAGGGGTTGTCCTAGGAAAGAATGGAGGGAGAGGGCAAAGGTGGTTTTGTGCAAGGGGCTTAAACATTCATCAGTCATATATGAGCAAGTTAGACAGGAGTGCGTGGAGACGAACAGTTTTTGGGAATTGACAATCTGTTGGAGTTTGAGCAGGGTAATATTTTGTGAAAGGATTCAGGGAAATTGGTTAGCTGGACTTTAGTCCTGGAGGTGGGAAGCACAGTGCCTGCACTCTAAAGGAGGGGTTTGCAATATTTGCTGTTTAGAGTGACATCTAAACTGTTGTATCTGCATGTCTCTGAGAAGACAGTGATAGTGTGAATGAAGGTGAAAGTGTTTCTTTTTCGGGTTGCCCTGCCTCGGTGGGAGATGGCAGCATGTCAAGAAAAAAAAACATTTATTAAATTCAATAGATACGGGCATGCCTTTTATGGTATACTGTATTAACCATGTTTCAATATTATGTGCAGTATTGTAATAGGAAAAGAAATGACAAAAACATTTAATCATCAAAAACTGCTACCATCTAAGGCAACGACACAAAGAATATCTCTTTGCTGTATTTGGTTTTTATCAATTCTAATCACCACACATACATATTACAGAATACCTAACCCCAGAGAGAAGGAAAACTAGCAGAAGAGTCAGAAATGACTATATTCATGTGAAGAGGGAAGTTTACAAAATTTGAAATAAACATAGCCAAGGCAACAGAACACAGCTTTCAAATCAATGTTTTGCTTTATTAAAAATGGTGACTTCCAATATTCAGCTTCAAGATTTTACTGTATAATTAAACATGAGAGGTCTGCTGCCTCTGTGGGATACAGGACTGTACCTGATCATTATTTAGGTGTTCCTGCCACACAGCCTTCAGTGCTTCATACTCCTTTGTTTTCTGTTTCATGTAATCCAATCTTTCTCTTCCTGTTAGGCCTTCAGGGTATACATTCAGTAAGTGTTTCCACACCACTTTTCTGCAGAATAATAATGTCTGAAGTAGAATTACTGGAATGACAGAACCAAGGGCTGCTTAACATATCTACTGGAGTCAAATGTACCCAAACCTAGTTAAATCAATAACTATAAGACAATGTCTAACTTACTACTACTAAGATATCTGAAAAATAATACACATGTTATGAATTCATTCACTTCCTTAACACACTATTCTTAACCCTTTGAGGGTCGACAGGCCCTCTCCGAAACTCGTTCTTAGGGTCGGCCAAATTTAAAAAAAAAATAAATAATTTTCTCTCATGAAAAGATAAAGAATCTTTTCCCTATCATAAAGACACCAAAAGTTTGAAATTTGATGGAAAACTTATGGAATTATGCTCTCACGAAGTTTGCTGTCTTGGCGATGTTTACGCATCGGCGATTTTGCCCACTTTGAGCCCCATTTTCGGCTAATTCCACTGTACTAGTCGACAAAAAACATGAATATTTCGCTAGAACTCCATTTTTTCTATCAAATGGGTGCAAGAAACCAACCATTTACGAAATTCAACTATCCAATACAGTGGTCAGAATTTAGCAACTTTGCCAATTTCATACAAATTTCAAAAGATGCCAATTTCCGAATAGGGTCCAGAATAAACAAGAAAGACATTCCTGGCACTAAAATGACATTTCCTCTGGTCATTAGTCACGTCTCAAGGCCCCTCTTATATTCTTTTGCTTTCCACTTTGAATTTTTATTCTCACAAAAAATACAAGATTTACTGTTTTGCAGACTACTGCATTAGTGTAAAAAATGGTATAAATATTATTGGCGCACTTGTGAAAGAATATTAGACTCACCAGTTGACGTGTATTGGACTACTGGCACGATTTGTTTACTTTTGAAATTTGGTAAAAATCGAACATTTCTGCTACTTTGAACTCAATTTCAAGGTACCTTTCATTGTAAAACCAGTCAAAATCATCTCAATTTCTGTAATATGTCTTCCATTCTATAAAATGAGACCAAGAAAACTAGAATACAACAATAAATACCATACGAAAATACAGTGCAAAGTCGCTGTTTTATTCCAAAAAAATGGTCAAAGTTTTTTTTTTCTCATTATGCACTGTGCGCTGCAGGATTTTTTTTAGACTGTGCACACTGACCACATAGACCCATTCTTCCATATGAAGGGCTACCAGCTTTCTCCCACTAGATTTGAGGGCGCTAGAATTTAGGCGTACTAGTACGTCAAAAACCCTGGGTCGTAAGCCGTACTAGTACGTCCGAAACCCTCAAAGGGTTAACCTTTGCCAGTTTGGTTTCAGGCCAAAAAAGCTGGATTCAAATCTACACATCTAAGAAAACAATGTATATCCAAAAAGCATCTTCACTGATCTACAAAATGTTTGTGATAAAACTGACCACAAAATCCATTTTTTTTAAACAAAAAATGCTTTACAATAAAGAGGCCATGCATTCTCCTACAAAAAGTCCTACCTCAATTGCAAACTCCAACATGAGGTTATAATTGATGCCACTATCTACTCAATCCATCAAATTAGGAGTGCCACAAGGCAGTTTCCAAAGACCACTTATTTCCAATGTACACCAATGACCTATGAAGCACATCTCGGCAATTTAAACTACTGTAGTTTTATTCATGGGCACTACTTCTGTCATTTATAATCCAGATCCAGTTGACCTCAGCAACATATTCAATGTTGAACTAGAAAGTTTATTCATGGTGACAAATAAATTAACACAAACACTGTACTAATAAGACCTCCTATGTATATAGTGTTTAGGAATAAAGCTAGAATTATTTAAATAAATAGATAAATAATACATGCACTCGGAAAGCCAAGACGAGGGAAAATTCTTGGATATTTCCCTGGACAAACAAACTTAAATTTGACAGACACATCCAACACATATTAAGAAAGTTTTCAAAACAGTGGGCATTCTTTACAGAATACAGGTGGTCCTCAACTTACGATAGGATTAGGTTCCGATGGACCATCATAAGTTCAAAATATCGTAAGTCGAGTACGAATATACAAGATAAATAAATAAGTAAAAAATAACAGTCACTGATTACGTAAATAAACAAATAATTACTGTAACTAACTAAATACCAGCATTGAAAAGTAATTAAATGAAAGTTTATATTATCAATATTATTATTATTACAGTCATAACCAAATGCTAAGCCTGTAAGGGTCATACAGCACTGTATCCTATCAATATATGTACAGTACTGTACAAAAAAAAAGCTTTACAGTACATCACACCATCATATAATCAAAATATTGTAAGCTGAACTATTGTAAAGCTATGGCACACACTGTACGTTATTATGTAGACGTTATTATAACCAGCATAACCCACTCACTAGTGCTCATTAATCTACACATGCTTCATTTAATGTATACAGTATGTTCCCAACACATCATCACTCGTTACCCAACAAAAATCTACAATAGAACAATCGCTCTCCAATTCCAAACACTCCCTTACTCCTGTCTCACCTTGTTTAAAGATTTTAAACCTAATTAATGTATAAAGTATCCACACATACACTATTTTGCATATTACATATACAGAACACTTAATACAAACATTAACCTTGAGCTAACAATTCCTGGAGAGCTGTAACACATTACATACGCCTAACACTTCAAATAAATATCTCTGATATTTCATGTGAGCATGTTTAACGCTTTGAGTGGCCATCATATAGATCTACATTACTGATTACTGGTAGGGAAGCTGGTGGTGGAATGCAAGGTCCTGATTTTACTGTTCACTTATGCTAGTATTACCCCAACATACACTTTGTGGACCCATCTGGTCTTAGATTTTTTTCCGAAGGCTCAATGAAGACACTGCAGGAGGCCCCGTGGTGCTAAGGACAAATACTGACAGGTGCCATATTTGAGGGCATGAAAAATTGTGTACTAGTATGTCAGATGCACAGTCATCACCTACATACTGATATGTTGGACACAGTTAAATCATTAATATGAAAAGGAACAAGCCATTTATAACTACACTGAACACCTGCAATGGTGTGTAGCCATCTTCAATAATTTCCAACAAAAAACAGGATGCTTTATGTTGTTATATGAGATGCTAGTGCAAGCCCAGAAACTACTGTACAATACTTACTTTCTGTAGACCTCAGTGCAACAATGGTTGTCCTAGAGGTCATTAAATACTGAAGAACTGAATATATCACCCTTGATTTGTACTTTACATCTTATCTATTCTCATAGCCCTTGTTATCTTATTGTGGCAGTCAGCCACTCTTTTTTGATTCTTATGCTGTTATTATTAAAATTATATGTCACTTTCAAAACAATATCCCATACTCATGTTTAAAGTATATTAGAGCATGATTGTGTGAAATTGGCACCTGTGCCACTGACAGGAAGATGCCATTTTGATGAGACCATGATGTGCAATCTTACAAGAATCTTATGGTGGACACTACAGGAATACAATATCTTCATGCTTACTAGTGAAAGGGCCCTGTAATGGATAGCACACATGTCAAGGTATTGTACTACTGCACTTATAATCTCATGTACTGTATAGAAGGGCATCTTATGGTAGTGGTAATTTAAACCTTATCATAAGGTTGAGTGCTCCTTATATACTGAAGCATTTCACCCTGTACAATGTCGGTAAGTACTGATTTGTGTGTCTAGTGCATAAATGAATAGTTTAGCCATATTTTGATATATATATGAAGGCGTTGTGAAGAATATTACGAGTGCACCATGCAAATGAAAAAAGTGCAACAAAATAGGACCAAGTACAGTCGTTCCTGCCCTTTTAGGTGCAGTTTTCAAGTTTTGGTATATAAATATTTCCATAAAATTTGGTAGTGTATATATGAATTCAGTAATGGTCTGGGTGTGTACAGAACGTTTTTATTGTCCTTCCAGATCAATAAGAAATTGTTCTATGGTGAGTCCTCCAAGGATAAGTCGAAATTTGTCTGTGTTTGGGATGATAGTGACTCAGATCAAGACCCAGATGACCTGGAAGTGGTGGAAACTGATGATGAATACTTGCCACAAGATGCAGAGGTGCCAACAGATGAGGAGGAAGCTATGCCACCATCCAAAAAGAAGAAATTGAACAAGAAGAAGATACTTGCTTACATGCAAGTATTGCAGCAACAAGAATAATCATGTCACATCTTCATTTTCCTGTGCCACATGCAAAGTAAACTATCCATCAAGAAGGATAGAAATTGTTTCATTAAGTTTCATTGCAGAAATTAGTGATGTAAAAAGATTGTTCTTTCTCAGGGAACTCAGGAATATTTCATTTGTAAGTTGTATCCCATTGCAATGTGCCATTGTTGATAAGTAGTTCCTATTTCTATTTTTTTACTGCTTACAAATTGTTCAGAAACAAGTTCCATATATGTTTTTTATATTGTCTACTTGTATAATAAATTTAAAAAATATTTATTTCGTTTTTTTTCAACAATTGCAACCTTGCAACATTCTAAATTGTTATACCCCAAACGGGCAGGACCGAATATACTCGGTCTTCGAATATCTGCAATTGCTCGAGATGTTACTTTCACAACTCCGTTTGGATGGTCTCAGTGACCTTACATCGAGTGGCTCTATCTCATACGAAATCACTTTCAAAATCTGCATTTTAGTCTGCCTTGCCCTCTGAAGGGTTAAATGCTATTACAAAAATTTTACCCATAACTTACCTAAGAGATGGCTCAAGGCCTCCTAAATAAACACAAAGACGTAGTTCTTTTGGATGAGCCAGCTGCCCCACACGATTTAGCATCTGCTGAAACTCTGAATCGGTCAGAGGAGGTCTAGTTGGGCGAAAAGAGGCTTCATCCCCCTCTTCATTCCAGTTCAAGGCCTTCTGAACAATTGACAAGGTTTTCTCCATCTGTTGAAGAGCTTTAATAAATAATTTTATCACATATATAAAAAGTAATGGTTACATAGTTATAAAAAATCAATATTGTACTTAGGAGACAACAACAGGCCACTTTCCTGAATTACAAAAAAATAGGCAATCCAGTAATGGTTTCTTACCATGATAGTAGACTAATAGGATTGCTATTGAGACTGATTATAAAACACACATGCTGAGAATGAGTTAACTCTTATTCCTTATACACATCGAAGCCTTAATTAAAAAAAATACAAAGTATCAAAATTTTAAGACTGTGGAGTTACGAAAAGCCTAATTCAAAGGGTAGAAGAGGGGGTTATTGAGATGGTTTGAATATTTAAAGAGGATAGAGCAGAATAGGTTGCTCAAATAATGTATAAATCTGGTGTGGAAAGAGAGGCAAGATTGTCCCAGGAAGAATTAGAGAAGGCGTGAAGAATGTTTTAACCCTGAAATCTAAAGTACTCATTGTCCACATGTTTCAAAAAAAAATCAAATATTTTTTCTTCCAAAATGGTAAAGAATCCGATGGAAAATTTATGGAATTATGCAGGTGCAAAGTTAGCAGTCTGGGTGCAAATTTACAAATTGGTGATTTTGCCAAATTTGAGTCTTACTTTAAGCTGATTCCATTGATCAGTTCAACCAAATTCTTAGCTATTTCACTAGCATGCCTTTAGTTCTATCTAATGAGTGCAAGAAACTGTCCATTCAACTATCAAAACTACACTATAAAATGCACAAAAGTCAGTAATTTGGCCAATTTTATGAAACATTAAAAAAATTCCAATTTAAAAACACAATCCAAAATAAACACTACAGACATTCCAGGCACTAATACATTTCTTCTGTTTATTAATCATGTTCCCCGGCCTTTCCTATATTATTCATTGGTGAAATGTATGAAGACTTCATCACATAAATGCCTATTTGCCACATGTCAGCATTAAACCTTCATTAATATGAATAGTATTCCTTTTGCATGCCAGAGTTAATATCCAGAGCTAAGACAGTGTGATGAAAAGATTAAAAATGGACTGATAAACACCAAGGAGTGAAGCTACACCTTTTGCTGAAACAATGGCTTCATACTGGCCATGAAGGGAAAGTATCAGTGCAACAACGAGGTATTTTGTGTGGTCTTGGTAACACAATTTAAATCATAGTTATTGATAATAAAAGTTGCAGCTGCATAAATTATGAGAGTCAACTGTGGTACAGTATTTTTGGTCTCGCATGATTGAGCTTCCATTACATTCGGAAAGCTTCTTACACCTTTTTTTGAATTATATTACTGATGTACAGCTTTTAGGTTCACAAGATAGGCTGTTCCATTTTTTAGATCCATTTATTTGCATGAACTTTCTACAGTACACACTGTACTGGCATCATGTCATTTTTTTTTTTAACAAGTCGGCCGTCTCCCACCGAGGCAGGGTGACCCAAAAAGAAAGAAAATCCCCAAAAAGAAAATACTTTCATCATTCAACTCTTTCACCTCACTCACACATAATCACTGTTTTTGCAGAGGTGCTCAGAACACAACAGCTTAGAAGCATATACGTATAAAGATACACAACATATCCCTCCAAACTGTCAATATCCCGAACCCCTCCTTTAGAGTGCAGGCATTGTACTTCCCATTTCCAGGACTCAAGTCCAGCTATATAAAAATAACCAGTTTCCCTGAATCCCTTCACTAAATATTACCCTGCTCACACTCCAACAGATCATCAGGTCCCAAATACCATTCGTCTCCATTCACTCCTATCGAACACGCTCATGCATGCCTGCTGGAAGTCCAAGTCCCTTGCCCACAAAACCTCCCTTACCCCTTCCTTCCAACCTTTTCGAGGACGACCCCTACCCTTCCTTCCCCTACAGATTTATATGCTCTCCATGTCATTCTACTTTGATTCATTCTCTCTAAAAGACCAAACCACCTCAACAACCCCTCTTCAGCCCTCTGGCTAATACTTTTATTAACTCCACACCTTCTCCTAATTTCCACACTCCGAATTTTCTGCATAATATTTACACCACAAGTTGCCCTTAAACAGGACATCTCCACTGCCTCCAACTGCCTCCTCACTGTTGCATTCACAACCCAAGCTTCACACCCATATAAGAGTGTTGGTACTACTATACTTTCATACATTCCCTTCTTTGCCTCCATAGATAATGTTTCTTGTCTCCACATATACCTCAATGCACCACTCACCTTTTTTCCCTCATCAATTCTATGATTAACTTCATCCTTCATAAATCCATCCGCCGACACATCAACTCACAAGTATCTGAAAACATTCACTTCTTCCATACTCCTCCTCCCCAATTTGATATCCAATTTTTCTTTATCTAAATCATGTGATACCCTCATCACCTTACTCTTTTCTATGTTCACTTTCAACTTTCTACCTTTACATACACTCCCAAACTCGTCCACTAACCTTTGCAATTTTTCTTTAGAATCATATATGTGGAATATAAAAGAATGGTTATTTACTGCATTATGCCTGTGTGTTTTATCACAGCTCTCCAATAAGAGCTTTAGGTCTGTCTTACTATGTTATCAGTGTCCAATAGATGTAGAATGCACAGTAATACAGTAAATATGAATTGTTTGGTATATGAATGGTTTGTATGGTTAATGGATTTAATTACATGATTACCGGAAGTGTGTCGTATGGATCTTTAGTGTGAGCTGATTTTTATGGTTATGTTATGATTGGTTTGTAGATCCTCAGGCACATACACCATGGTTTATGAGCAGATCAACTTACAGAAAAATGTGAATCATTTGAGAAGGGGAACACACACTGGTGGACTTCAACGATGTTAACCACAAGAATTTTCAAAAAAATGCCAACTCAACATAAGGATGGGTTTATGTACAAAGCTTATATTTTACTGAAAATATTGTATACCACTTAATTTATGACCAAGAATATAAATTGAATTAATGAAATTTTATGGACGTATCTAAATAAAAGGGAGCAAGGGGCTAGTAACCCTTTCTCCTGTATACATTATCAAAGTCAAAAAGAGAAACTTTTGTTTTTCTTTTTGGGCTGCCTTGCTTCGGTGGGAAACGGCCAGTTTGTTGAAAGAAGAAGGTCTATATAAAACAATGAGACTATTACTCTTTTATATTAACCCATAAATGGGTTAATATAAAAGAGTAATAGTCTCGTTCACATCTACGTTCCCATGTGCAGTGCTCCAAAAGTAGATCTACGTTTTTTTTTACATATTTTCAAACAAAAAAAAAATACATGTGCATCAAAGTTTTTTTTACACATTTTCAAATATAAAAAAAACAAAGATCTACTTTTTTTTACACACTTTCAAATGTTGAAAAAACGTATATATATGTTTGGACCATTTGCGGGTTAAAGACATGGTAATAAAATTAAAATGAAAGTATGTAATATATTCTGGTAGCATTGGTTTTTTTTTTTTTCAACGAACTTGCCGTATCCCAGCAAGGCAGGGTGGCCTAAAAAGAAAAACAAAAGTTTCTCTTTAAATTTAGTACAGTGGAACCCTGGTTTTTGTCCTTAATCCGTTCCAGAAGGTTGATCAAAATCCAAAATGGACGAAAACAGAAGTATTATTCCCCGTAAGAAATAATATAAATCCAATTAATCCGTTGCAGACACCCAAAAACATTAACAAAAAATACATTTTATAGAGAATAACTATAGTTTTACATACAGAAAACAATGAGAAATAAATATAGAGCACTAATTTTAATGGATAAATGAACATTTAAATCACTTTTACCTTTATTGAAGACTCTTGTTGGCATATTCTTTATCAGATCTGCATGCAACTGACTTGTCTTCTCGCAGATTATCGCCTCCACAACACTATCTCTCCCACTAACTGTTTTTCGTTTATCCACACCAACAACAACATCTCAACATCTTCAATTGTTTGCCATCACTACCACCCTCTACCACCAATGTTTTGGATGAACGCGAACAGTATTGCTCACTGAACAAGTGACAGAGTCACATACATGTGAGCGGCCGCATCCCAGGCAGGTGGATGTGTTTGATACGGACAATTTTCAAGCGGAGGTGCGAAACCTGGGGTAAAATTTCGCCCCAAAAAGTGGTCAAAATCCAAATTGTACGATATCCGCACCGGACGAAATCCGAGGTTCCACTGTAATATATACAGGAAAAGGGGTTACTATCCCCTTGCTCCTGGCATTTTAGTCACCTCTTATGACATGCATGGCTTACAGAAGAGGAATTCTGTTCCACTTCCCCATGGAACTAGTAGTACATGTATTAATAAAACTAAAAGAAATTTTTAATTTTATTTGTACCTTTTCTTTAAAGATTCCTGGGAGTTTAGCAGAGTAGTTGTTTCTTGGGAGGTCAGGCAAAGAAAGTTTGGGAATATCCATGTTGGTGACAGCATCCCAAGTACCATTAGATGACAATAATTCCACTTTTACCAATAAGTATGGATCAGAAGATCTGTTGAAATAAAATATAGAAATATATTTTCAGTTAAACACTAAGTATTTTAATCTAAATTTGTCATACAAAACATTTCTCTGCAGTCATGTTTAACAAGAACAAAGTCTCAGCATAAAAGACAATTACTGTTTTTTGTTATATAAAAATCAATGAAGGGATACAGGGAAACCGGTTAGCTAGACTTGAGGTCTGAAGGTGGGAAGTACAGTGCCTGCACTCTGAAGGAGCGATGGGAATATTTGCAGTTTTGAACTCCAGTATCAGCACGCCTTTGACAAGACAGTCATGGAGTGAGTGACTATGAAAGCGTTAAAGTGTTTCTTCTTTTTCAGGTCACCCTACCTCACTGGGAGACAGCCGGCATGTTAAAAAAAAAAAAAACTTTAATGTACATCATCATACATGGTCCACGAAACTGAACCCATACCTGCTAAACATGCCTTATCAGCCAAGGTATAATATCTATGTAAGCCTGCAGATAACCAGAAGCAATAGCCTGGTTGATCAGACAGTCAAGAAAGTCTGGTAGCCTCAGGCCAGGCTGTGAGGGGTAAATACCAGTCATTGGTATTTACTCTTTATAAATTCACATTTATTATAAAGTAGCAGGCAACACTTCCAGCTAGTCGGCCCACTGCCGCCCGCCCTCACTACCCACCCGCAAGCACATGCAAGCCTGTAGGCATATGGGTGATGTTCAAAAGTGGGCCATTGCTAAATGGGAGGTGGACACTAAAAGAAAGTTAGCATCAGGTAGGGTAGGCTCCAAAACCTGGTGGTCCCTGGTCAAGGACAGACAAGGTTATCTGCCTGATGAACTTATTCCACCTCTAAATCGACAGGATGGGACCACCTCTACTAGTAGTCAAGAGAAGGTGGACCTCTTTGCTGAACACTTTGCTACCAAAATGCAAGTTCCTGATCCAGCAAGGGACCCTCCTTGGCTAGCTGCAAGAACTGTGTCAAACTGTCAGTGGTGACAATAAGGCAGGAGGAGGTGCATTTCCTACTTAAATCGCTTGACCAAGAAAAGGCTGTGGGCCCAGACAAGTTGAGCCCAAGATTGTTGAGAAGATGTGCAGACCAGCTAGCAGCACCTCTAACTCGCATCTTTCAGCAATGCCTAGTACAGTGTAAATGGCCCTCTCTATAGAAAGAGGCAAATGTAGTCCCTGTTCACAAAAAGAAGAGCAGAGCAGAAATCAGCAACTACAGACCAGTGTCACTCCTGTCAATCACTGGTAAGATCCTTGAGACAATAATCTCAAGACAAATGACAGAGTTTTTTGACTACCACTCACTACTTTGTGATCGTCAATATGGCTTCAGGAAAGGTTACTCTGCTGCTGATCTGTTGTTAAACCTCTCCACTAAGTGGCACCAGTCACTGGATGAATCCAAAGTCAGCTGTGTGGTAGCACTGGACATTGCTGGCACTTTCGACCGGGTGTGGCACCAGGGCCTCTTAGCAAAACTTCAAGCACTGGGAATTGCAGGCTCTACGCTATGTCTCCTCAGTGACTACCTTCATGGTAGATCTCTAAGTGTAGTTCTCAATGGAACGGAATCAGCAAGACATCCTATTGGGGCAAGTGTTCCACAAGGAAGCGTGCTGGGTCCATTGTTATGGAATGTCTACTTCAACGACCTTCTTCACCTCATCCCAGAATCACATGCATATGCAGACGACTGTACACTGACATTCACTTATCCAAGAGAAGAAATGCCAGCTGCGCTAAGCTACATCAATCACCAGCTGAGAGCTATATCAGCTTGGGGAAATAGATGGCAAGTAACATTTGCACCTGAGAAAACGCAAATGATGATCGTCTCTAGGCACCATGATGGTAATGCTGGTGCAGTAGTAAGGATGAATGGGAGGATGTTGGCACCTGGAGAAGAAGTTGATATCCTTGGGGTGAAATTTGACTCCAAACTAACCATGAAGAACCATGTTGTAAATCTTGCAAACAAGGCAGCCAGGAAGCTTACAGCACTTCGCCGTATCTCCCATCTGCTTGACAGTAGGGGTTGCAAGATCCTGTACGAGGCACAAGTACGCTCGCACCTTGAGTATGCTCCACTTTCTTGGTTTGCCTGCCCCCCCCCTCATCTGCGACTGCTTGACAGAGTAGAGAACAGAGCAAGACGTCTCATCTCTCGCCTGGACCCATCCTGGATAGATCTGTCATTTCAGAAGAGCCTTCAACATAGGAGGGATGTGGGTGGCCTTACTGTTATGTACAAGGCCAATATTGTCAAAATACCACACTTGGATCCACTTCGAGGACAGCGTGAAACAAGCTTTTATGCCACAAGACGGGCAGAAAGCAGCAACTTCACTCTGGCTGTACCCTTCTCCAGAACATCACTCCATCTGAGATCATACATACCCAGGATGACTCGAGTATGGAACACATTCGTACAGGATAATGATGTCAACGAGATAAAGTCAGTTGATCAAATGAAAATGCTGGCCCACAGATGGCTCCAACTTCATCCTGTTTCCTACTTGTATGTCTCATAACAATAAAAATGCTTTCAAATGAGCTGATGTAGGTAACAGCTCTTAGTTTGCCAATAAAGTTAGGAATCCTTAACCTGTAAATAGCTGTCAATAAAGCTAGGGATCCTTAACCTTGTCAAACCCTGTGTAAAAAAAAAAAAAAAAAAAAAAAAAAAAAAAAAAGTAAGAAACATTGAATCTGAGATTATTCATAGGTCAGTAATACTGTAGTAGTAGTGCAATCTGCTCACAGCTGAAGGACCCGAGTTTAATACTGGAGAGGTGATACAAAAACTACTCTCTCGCTACATCTCATGCCCCTGATGACATAGCAGTAAAGAGGTGCTCGAGTGTTAGACAAAAGCTGTAGGTTGTATCCTAAGGAAGAGGACCAAAGGACCCCAGTGAAATAAGCTACACAGTCTGGCTTTTCTTGGGTTATCCCGAGATTCTAATTTTCTGTGGTTAATAACTAATGAAATATCTGTACATTGCTTGTAGGAAAAAAAAAAAAGGTTGCATAAAGGTAAGATACGTATAACATACTTGGCATATAGAGTAACAAGTGAATACTAAACGAGAAGTCCTTCAATTGTCGTGATCAAAAAAAAAAAGGTATACTCCATAACCCCATACTGTTATGTACCTCAATGTACACAAGAGGATTATGTACTAGTTGTACCTTAAAACTCCCAAGAAACTACAGCAACTCACTCAACAGACAAGGTCCAAGAGGTCGAGGAATTGGAGTTCAACTCCTTCAAGAGGCCCAAGAGATGGAAATTTAACCTCTTCAAGAGGCCCAGAACCTTTAGCACTCAAGAAGCTTATTTCAATAAATTTGCCAAACTTCAATATCCCAATGCACAAATATGTTAGGCGAGATAAGGATAGATTAGAACAAAGGTAGGCAACTTATTTCAAAATGTAGCCACAGATGCGGTGAACGAGAAGTGAAATTTGCCACACCATGCAAAAACTGAGAAGTTGGGTAGCTCAACTGAAAATTAAAAAAAATATTTTAAACCTTTTGAACAAGTTTACTCATAATATGCAAATTTTGACTAGTATTCAGTTAAAACTGCCTTAGATGCAGCAAATGAAAAAGTGAGAAAATTTAATATGAAATCTGACAATTCTTTTGTCTTACAAGTTGTAAAAATACTGGATGAATATCTGAAGTCAACTCTGCCTCTCAAGTAACATCAACAATTCAAGATCTGTATTTTCACCCTATGAATCCCATCATTGATTATGTTGATTCACACACCCACAGACAATAATTCTGAAATGCATGATTTCAAAGTGTGTGATCTTTGTCAGTCATAATATATTCTCTCACATCTGTGACTGAAGAATTCTGACAAACTTTCGAAAAATATGCAGAGAGAGTAGGGCCCCGCTTTACAGCATTTCGCCTCACAGCGTTCCACTAATATGGCGATTTCAAATTATGACCAAAACTTGCTATACGGCAAGCGAACTTTCAAATACAGCATGCCCCACCCGGTTTGTTTACATTCTCTGTAAGCACATCTCTTATGTCCGGAAACTTTCCAAAATTTCAAGTGTTTTAAAGTTATTGTATATTTTATATGTACTCTGATATAATTATGTGTACTTGTACCTAAATATACGTACATGTACTTACACATTGTGCTGGCGCGCAGGTATACATTAAAATCACTAAGAGTCTTTCTACACTTGACGTAATATGCAATCTCTTGGGCTCATTGAATGTCATATACAGTGGACCCCCGGTTTATGATCAGCTCCCAATGCGACCAATTATGTAAGTGTATTTATGTAAGTGCGTTTGTATGTGTATGTTTGGGGGTCTGAAATGGACTAATCTAATTCACAATATTCCTTATGGGAACAAATTCGGTCAGTACTGGCACCTGAACATACTTCTGGAATGAAATAATATCGTAAACCGGGGGTCCACTGTATTACGTTACTATAGACATTTTCATTAATCTGTGATATTTTTTTCAAAATTATGTAACAAACAAGCTATGTAACATATAAACATGATTAATACACCCCACAGTAGAATAAATTAACAAATATGAAATACAGTAGCCAGGCGACTTGTAGTCCAACATCAGAGAAAATGTGTCACTATAATATTACTGGGGGTAACTAGAAAATTATTCCTTTCATATACCTTCACTCAGAGCGTCATTTCTTCTAAAAATGGTGTTAGAGGAGAATGGGAGTGTTTCTCTCTATTTACTCTACTGTATCAATGTGGAGACAACTTGTACACAATGTAAAGTGATGAAAATCAGACATGTTCACCTGGTTTGTTTACATTACGTGTAGGTGGGGTGGGGCAGGGAGGGCTGCCCTGGCTGGCTACCAAACTTCCAAAACCTGACTTCCTACAAATAAAACTCACGTGACTTCCTACAAATAAAACTCACCTCTCATCCTACATCAAGACTACAAATATTTTAAGCTAAATAAGGAATGTACTGTATACGTA